ACCAGCATTGGCAGCTATACTCTGTGCTTGTTCAAAACTTTTACATTCATTAGCTGACAGAGTTGGGTGATGCACATTCTGGTGCTGTTCTCTGTGCTTAGTTATCTTTCAAGGGTGTAGCATATTTCTTTTATAAAAGCTCTATGAATACTTTAGATTTAATATTTAGCAAAATGTGAGGGAAGTCCTTTTGCAGGATTCCCCTTATGTAGTTATCTTGGTGCATCTTTCCATGCATCCAGCCAACTAACTGAACAGGAGCACCACAGGAGATGGTACTCTCGCCATTCCTTTTTCCTCTGTACACCTCTGACTTCCATTGCAAGATCAAGTCCTGTTATCTGCAGAAATACAAGGATGCCTCTGCAGTCATCTGATATGTCACAGATGCAAGAAGCCAAACACAAGGAGCCAGGGAACCACTTTGTGGCATGAAGTGAAAAAAAAAAAATCTGATCCTGAATGTGAATAGAACAAGCAAGACGAATACAGATTGCAGAAGAAACAGGAACAAGTCCAATCCTATTAAAATCATGGGAGAACAAGTCGAAGTGGTAGAAGAGTCTAAATATTTCTATGTTCACCGCAAAAACAGACTGGACTTCAGGCACAACTGTGAAGCCGTCCACAAGAAGGGACAGAGCAGACTGGATTTTTTAAAGGAGATTAGGTTCTTCAGTGTTTGCAGCAAAAAGTCTGCAGAGTGTAATTTATTTTTCCATTCTGTTAGATAACAGCATCAGAGCAAATGAGTTTGGGGAGTTCGTTCTATTATTGATGCTCCTCCAAAGCCTCTAGAGATGACTTACCAAAAAAAAATCTGAGGAACATCATGGAGAATCATGAGTATCCTCCTATCAGACTGTTAAACACCAAAAGAGTCTCTTCAGTCAGAGGCTTCTCCCTTTTAGCAGTTATATAGACTGCTACAGAAGAGCCTTTCTGCCTACAGCCCTTAACATCTACAGCAGTTCATTGAATAAACCCGTGTAATATAAGTTGTATCACTATTCATTTTCTCTTTGGGATTAAAAAAAGTAATTGGGAGTTGAATCAGTTAAGACTCTTTCAGTTAAATATGCCAACTTTCATCTTTTATAACCAAAGTTCTGCAAATAGACTTTCTCTTCTGCTTTTCACTCTCAGTGCTCCTTCTGATTGAAGAAGGCTGTAACAGGACTTGAGGTTAGACACCTCACTTCGACTGTAGAGTGTAAAAGCTAGCGTCACATGGTGGTTTGTTGTTTTATTTCTACTGTTTTCTGATATTTTTATATCCTCTATTTTTTGCATATATATATATATAATTAATTGGTCAGATAAACTGTAATAAATATGTTTTAACTTGTTACTGTTTTGCATGTGTGGTTAAAGGATGTTAATCTTGAAAATAAGACCTCATATCCAAATTTACCGCTATAGAAAAAGGTGGAAAAAAAATTCTACTCTGACCTTCGAAATACACTATATTGCCAAAAGTATTTGCTCACCCATCCAAATTATTGGAATCAGGTGTTCCAATCACTTCCATGGCCACAGGTGTATAAATTCAAGCACCTAGGCATGCAGACTGTTTTTACAAACATTTGTGAAAGAATGGGTCGCTCTCAGGAGCTCAGTGAATTCCAGCGTGGAACTGTGATAGGATGCCACCTGTGCAACAAATCCAGTCGTGAAATTTCCTCGCTCCTAAATATTCCACAGTCAACTGTCAGCTGTATTATAAGAAAATGGAAGTGTTTGGGAACGACAGCAACTCAGCCACGAAGTGGTAGGCCACGTAAACTGACGGAGCGGGGTCAGCGGATGCTGAAGCGCATAGTGCGAAGAGGTCGCCAACTTTCTGCAGAGTCAATCACTACAGACCTCCAAACTTCATGTGGCCTTCAGATTAGCTCAAGAACAGTGCGCAGAGAGCTTCATGGAATGGGTTTCCATGGTCGAGCAGCTGCATCCAAGCCATACATCACCAAGTGCAATGCAAAGCGTCGGATGCGGTGGTGTAAAGCACGCCGCCACTGGACTCTAGAGCAGTGGAGACGCGTTCTCTGGAGTGACGAATCGCGCTTCTCCATCTGGCAATCTGATGGACGGGTCTGGGTTTGGCGGTTGCCAGGAGAACGGTACTTGTCTGACTGCATTGTGCCAAGTGTAAAGTTTGGTGGAGGGGGGATTATGGTGTGGGGTTGTTTTTCAGGAGCTGGGCTTGGCCCCTTAGTTCCAGTGAAAGGAACTCTGAATGCTTCAGCATACCAAGACATTTTGGACAATTCCATGCTCCCAACTTTGTGGGAACAGTTTGGAGCTGGCCCCTTCCTCTTCCAACATGACTGTGCACCAGTGCACAAAGCAAGGTCCATAAAGACATGGATGACAGAGTCTGGTGTGGATGAACTTGACTGGCCTGCACAGAGTCCTGACCTCAACCCGATAGAACACCTTTGGGATGAATTAGAGCGGAGACTGAGAGCCAGGCCTTCTCGTCCAACATCAGTGTGCGACCTCACAAATGCGCTTCTGGAAGAATGGTCCAAAATTCCCATAAACACACTCCTAAACCTTGTGGACAGCCTTCCCAGAAGAGTTGAAGCTGTTCTAGCTGCAAAGGGTGGACCGACGTCATATTGAACCCTATGGATTAGGAACGGGATGTCACTTAAGCTCATATGTGAGTCAAGGCAGGTGAGCAAATACTTTTGGCAATATAGTGTATCTAATAAACTCGGTAAAGGTTACCTTCTTAACACATCCTTATTTTTTGGTTTAACATACATGCTGCCAAGGATGAAAAACTTTCACTATTTTTACTGAATTCCACTTTTTGAAGGAGACCAGGCTGTAATTTTGACAGCTCAAATGACCAAATAACTCTTGAAAACAGCCCCTGTGTATTTCCTGTGCTTACATGCACCACTGCTGAGCTCTAAGAGATGGAAGTAAATGGCAAACATTTGGTTGCGAAACAGGCTTTGGTTTCTCTTTTTTTTTTTTATCAAGTTGCATGAAATAGTATCTGCATATAAAGCAGTTTGAGACCAAGAGAGTCTCCAATAGTCACATTATGTTACAGAACATCTTTCTTCTTATTAAAACCTTCCAGCAGGTAAGAGCTCACTGTTAAAGCTTTTTGACAACATGTTTGCTATAAACTAGGGAATCAGAGAGATAAAAACAGCAGCACTCAGAAATACTTTAATTTATTCATGAGTGCCCATAGTGTCTGTTTGAGATTTATCTGCAATATTTACTTTTAAATCGTATCTATACAGACAAACCTTTAGTTTTGTACAAAGTGTGTTGTAAACCACAGATTCGCTATGATGCACACAAAAAAAATCTCAACTTCATGAGATTTGTGAGAATGGAAGAATTTTCTTTATTTTATCATCTTTAGATCATGTTCAGTAATTTTAAGCTTCACATGTTTCCTTTTCACTTCATTTGTCTGTCTGCACTTGGCTCATTCGGGAGCTTCCTGTGGTCAAAGCTAAATGTTACAGGCACTGATGGAATGGCCATTGGCCATTCCTGTAAATTTCATGAGACTATCTTGCACTCAGTTTCTCATCAATAAGCCCATCAAGAAAACTGCTGGCTGGCTGTTTTAATAGCCGGCAAACAATAAGACTCTCTAAAGCCATTTGGTTCATTCAGCACCACTTATACAGTGTTGCTTCAGCATCTTGGGCTAAAAAAATGCCTGACAGTAAATGTCATGGAATAAAGGTTCAAAATCTGCAATATAGGAAACAGATTTCAAGTTTATAGGATTTTAGCTTGACAGAAGAGAGTTTATGCAGGAATTGGGTATAACTATTTAAATTTTCATACTTGTTGCTTATTTTTTATTTATAAGACCTCTTCCTTGGATTTCAAAAAGGTAACTCTGAACATTTAGAGCACTAAATAAATGCATTATTTAATTAAATACTAAAAATAAACTATTTTCATTGGTAGGACCATCATTTTAAACACACAAAAACAGATAAAGTTAACTTGAGTTCATTAATCTGTATAGGTGAGCAAGAAAATTCCATGTCAAATATTGTGTCACGCTCTCAGTTCATATAAAAAAAAAACACAACAACAAAGAATTCAATTTAAACCACAATTTTATTCTAGAAGTAAACATTTGCTGAGCTGTAAGGCAAACAGACAAACATTCCCTTCAAGGAAGGCAGGTTTATGTTGATACTAAAAATAATCCATCTCATATTTTTATTGGCACCAGTAATCCTAATGGGGAGGGAGGCAGAACATTTTCCAGTAATGGTGACATCTTCTCCTGAACTACAGAACTGTAATAACTTTAATTGATGTCAGGGGTGAACTAAATAAGCCTGGAAGCTAAAACTAAATCAAAAGCTCTTTAAACAATAAAGTACTTTATCATTCCTTTTTGTTATTTATTATATTTAGCCTTAATGGTTCATTTATGTTCTTTCATTTTGAATTGTATAGTGGTGCAATGCACATGTAGAGATCCAGGGATTTTATATAATATAAATATAATATAATATAATAAATATGTCAAAGCTTTAAAATAAGAGCCAGTAAAAATGCATTTTCAGATTTTTTATTTATTTTTTTAATCTTACTGATTTTATTGCTATTACACTTCTTTAATAGAATCCACCTGCTCCTCTTAAGCCACATGACTACTGATGTCACCAGAGCCACAATCAAAGCCAGGAACCTGTAGACAAAATGGTGTTTGTGCGTCCAGAGCAGACCGAGTCTAAGTGGGGATGAAATGGGGGTTGAAAAAAATTCAGACAAAAATACAAATCATCACAGTCTTTTTTTTTTTCTGTTTTACTGCATATGTATAAATGAAGTTCAAAAGGCAGATGGGAAAAACATTAGCCTCTCTATTCACCAGGGTCCTCCCACCCTTTCTGTCTTGCCCTGTTATCCACCCACATGTACCGTCTGAGAAAAAAAAAAAAAGTGCATGAGGTGACGCTCCTCCAAAGGAACAGAGAGAGGGGGGGGGGGTCTACAGGCTGCATCTCATCTGAAACATTTGGATGAGGGGGGAGACAGAGGAAGAGCCTGAATGGTAGCTACACCCTGCGCCTGGAAGCGTAGAGAAAGAGAAATAGAGAGGCACTGTTAAAAAAAGAAAAAAGAAAAAAAAAACAACAAAAAAGCTGGCAGTTATTTTTCTTTTTTGGCAATAACAAAGAGGTGGGAGAGAGAAAATAGCACATATAAGAGGGGGACTTCTGCTTCATTTCATCCGAAAGACTCCATCCCTGTGCCATCATCAGCATGACCATAAGCTCTATAAGTAACATCCGGCAATAATAACAACGGGTATCAATAGGAGGTTTCCAGCAACAGATGCCCGCTATTTCATTTTGATTGGAGAGAAAAAAAGACCTAAAAAAGATCAACTGAATGCCTGCGAGAAACTGGACTCTGAAAGCATAAGGCAGAGCGATCAAACAGAGAAATCTACATTTTGATTGATCCTTTTTTTTTTTTTTTAAAGCTTGATGTGCGTGTCTCTGCGCGCACTCGAAACGAACCTGAGCCAAAAGCAAGTGAGTATTAAACCGTATCTGTGTGTATCTTTATATCTGTGTGTTTCTATCTTGGTGGCTTTGTGGAACGGAGTATTCTTTCATCCAGGAGTGTAGAAATAAAAACAAGATGATAATTGGAGCCGTCGCTACATTCAACAAGTCTAGAATACCCACCAAATATATTCATCTATTGTGTGTACCGATTAAAAAAATGACCAAAAGCACGTAGAGTAAATTTAAGCACTTATTGTAAATTTTACCTGGAAAAATTATTAATGCAATCAGCCTGATTTTTTTAATAATAATAATAAAAAAATTGCCTCTCATTTCCTACTGTCATTAAAATGAAGCTTAAAGATTTCACCCCTCATTGCACAAATGGTGGGTGTTTCCCCATCTTCACCACTAGATCAGAGCAGTTTCATGACTCTCTGAGAGGAATGAGTGCATGCAGACATTCCCTCCTGCATCATTCTGCCTGCACGAGTTATCATGTTGTGTGTGTGTGTGTGGCTTTGTGCTTTTTGCAGGAATGCAATTAGGAATGCAATCAGGAATGCATTTTCCTTTGCATGTCAGTTTGTGTATGTGTGTGCGTTGTTTTATATCACATCCTGTCAATTTCTGGGAAGTGTAAAGGCCTGAAATGAAGGTTTGATATAGGTGAAGACGTGAGGAAGGGATGCAGAGGACGGAGGCAGAGGATGGTGAACAGGAAGGACATAGGGTCTCTGAGATCTCATCCAGGAAGTCTGAAAGATATGGAGGTGGGAGGCGGGATGTTAAATGTCTAGACTTTTTTTTATTCCCCTCTACAACCTCCAGGCACTGCACATGCCATCGTACACTGACATTTTTCTCCATCTGCATTCCACTGCGTTTCACACACAGAGTATGCGGTTTCATAACAGCTCTTCTGCCAACTGGCTCTAGTGCGCTCTTCTTCTAATGGCAACTCTCTGCCTCTTTTCCTCCATTTGCTCTCCCTCTGTCACCTTACCCAGCCCCTCTCTTGGTCCTGCATTATGAATCTACTGCTGGTACTATTTTTAGGTCCAGGGTAACCCAGAAAACACCCATTTCAAATTTTGCACAAAGAGGAAAAAGAAAAACTAAATGCAAAAAAAGAGACTGGTGTGCAGTGGGTGACTGGTGGAGTAAATAAGAGGGGCTTATAAAAGGAGGGCACTGCTGTTTAAATCTATTTTTGAAGCTTTGATTGAATTACACATCTATCGAGCCTTGTGTTTGTGAGCGTCTCTGCCTCGGACCCCTCATCTCCTCCCGGCTCTGATGGTTTCTCTCTCATCTATGGGCTTCAGAGCTCAGAACTTCAACACCTCTGTCCTGATTACATGATTGAGAAAATCCAGCTTCCTTCATTTCCAATTTACTTCCCACATCTCCTCTGTTTAGCTTCTGTACACTCAACACATGTGTAGGCCAGGTTTCTGGAAGTAAACATCTGTAAAGGTTTGATCACTAACAGTTTCCTTTGTTAAAGTAGACAGATGTTCTCTGGGGTTTTGAAAACAAAGGAGCAAAATACGACAAACAGCACATCCATTTAAAAACAACTCAAACTATTGTTATTAATGAGATCAAGGGTTATATTCGCGGTTATCAATCACCTTTAGAAAATACATCTGTTAACTTTGTTGTTATTTTAGGTAAATATATTTTGTGTTACAAGGAATTGTTACACGGTGAAAGAAGCAGGCTGGTTACAAGTTTGTCAGGATAATTTCCAAACAAAAAATTGCATGACCTGGAGAAGCACAGAAACATACTATATAAGATTCTGCTGCGACCGGGGACAGCCCTGCACAAAAGCCAAATGTTAACTTCACTTTTCCACACTGTGAACTCATTAGGTAGACTGATACCGCAGCTAAGCTAAAGCTCAAACTTTAACGATGATCTCTTGTAAAAAAAAAACTGAAAAAGTTAATATCACTATAAAACCAGATGTAAACATTTTCATCTTGGGTTTAAAAAAATATATTAAATAAGTTATTTAAAACTAATAGTCTGTCTGCCTGATTGATAACCTTTTCCAGTCTTTACTTTTCCACAAACTATTACATGATGCAGCTAAGACAGAGAAGGACTGATGATAATTTAACTTCATTTAAAAAAATCTGAACTGTTCCTTAAACATCATAGCTCAGGATTTTTTAAGAAGGGTTTTTTGTAAAGTGGTGGCTCTCTTGGACTTTTAACGACTATTAATCAAAAAAAGGGACTAAAAACAAACCAAGCATCTATAGACTTAAAACAACTTCAGTCTCACAACCTTTTTGGGAAACACAATTTATTAATCCTTTGTACCACTCCCTATTTATTTGAGATAAAACTGAAGTATTACTTTGAGAAGTGTCTGACTGCAGGGGTCATTTTGTAGTGCTGTCAAGGTCAGCCCCTTGCTGGATCATGAGTAATTTAGCATTCTGTCCCTATTCCGAAATCTAACCCTAGACCAGGAGTCCGAAACCTTTCCAAACCAGAGAGCCATTTAACCTTGAGCCCAGCTAAATAAAAGTAGTTTAGTGCAGCAAATATTACATGACCTTTAAATAAAAGTATATATATATATGCAATAGGAAATATTTTGCCATTTTAAACAGCAAACATCTAATTTGCTATTTGTATTTTTTGAAAGAAAGGATAAAACATAAAAGTTTCTTTAAGAGGAAGCATTGATGTTAGGTTTTGTTCGATAGGATCCAGACTTATGACAAGAATTGTAGATCTACAACGTATTTCTGATTCTTTAATGTCATTCTGTAATGGAAATTAAAATCAAATATTCTTTAAAAACATGCTTAACTTGTAGGAATGGTATTTGTTGTTAAACTATATTAAAAAGCTTTACTGGGCTCTTTATCAGTTTTAGCCACTGTTAAGAGCCTTTGCAGAGGGTCCAAAGAGCCACTTGCAGCTCCGGTGCTGCAGACCCCTGCCCTAGATCTTACCTATAACCTTTTACTACAGTCATTAACTGCCTGACAAATGATTTTTCCACATGTGAATCAGGGCAGGCAAAAATTATTTAAATTATGCTCTGAGAGTAACTTTGATATTTATGTTTTTTTTCTGTCCTAAGTTAACAAGATAAAACACCTATAGCAGTAAAGCGATAAAGGCCTCTTTTGCAAGGGTAACACAAGGGAAATACAAACAGCATTACTTCATGGTGAACAGGACAAAAATTTAAACAAAAGAAAACTTAGGAATACACAAGCAAATATAACAAATAAAGCACAAGAGCTATTGTTCTAGTATAAATGTATATTTTCTGAGTTTAACGCCTGTTTGAAGGATTTCCGTTGTAGGGTTAGCGTTAAGGTAGATTAAGGTAGATTGTAAAGCTTTCAGTGAAACCTGTTCAACAGTTTAGGGTCAGAATGGCAGGGCTTTTAAGCAGAGGTGGCAGAGACATTCAAATCTATTTTTGCCTGTTCAGTTCGAACACGTCGAATAGCGAAATACAAAATGTAATTTGGGCAAAGGCATTATGGCTTTAAAACTCCAAAGAAACTGCATAAATAAGGAAGGTCAAACCTACAAGAGCCCTGTAATTCAAAGCCTTCCAGTGTAGCCTTACATTCTAGGGTGGTATGCAACTTTCAGAAATGTATATTGATGAGTGAGGGGGGGCTACATCTATGGATTTATTTCAAAACGCAATGGCACACAAGAGTCAGAGACTTAAAGGGGTCATAAAATGATTATATAGGGTATTTGGTGCTGGTCTTTAAGGTCTCTGAATAGGGTGTGTAACATTGGTTGGGCTGAAAATAGCATATTTGCTGTTCTATGAGCCCTAATGCAAACCTGGTTAAAAGACCTAGAATGAAACGACAGGTTTTCATCCTTTTGTGGTATGCTCATGAATATTTAGATGAGCTGTGCGCTGATTGGTTGGTTTACAATGAGCGAAACTGCAGAGCAAAGACGCATCATAGCAACAAGCACTCACTCAACGAAACATTGAGATTGTTGATATGGTAGGGTAACCAGACGTTCTCTTTTTCCCGGACATGTCATACTTTTCAGACCTAAAAAAATGTCCAGGGTTTTTTTCAAAATAGATCAGTATTTTGTTTGATTACACTGCAGCAGACCTGAGCGCCGGGGCTGGTCTGGCGGACATGTGCAGGGAGCCAGTGGGGGGACGGAGCGACCGAACCCGACCTGGTGATGGTAGTCTGGACACACGCGGCCCCGTGCTTTCCCCTGCCTGCCTTACCGGCCCCCAGCCCCCTTCCTCCAGCTGAGGAAGGCGGCTCATGGCTCTCTGCTAGGGTCATGTCCAGTCAGCGGCCCAGCAGTCGACACTTTATACCCATCCCCCCCCCGGGGCATGACAAAAGTACAGGCCAGAACCAAATAATTTAACATCCCAGAGTGTACGTCAATTTGCGGCTTCGTTTGGATTCGCCCGTTTTATGTTGGAAGTTTAGAATGGTGAGATTTACAGAGAAAGGAGGTGTCGAGGTTTGAACTTCTTTGTACGTCCATTTCACCCGCTGAACTACATTATTCATTGATGACAATGTAAACTCAGTTTTGCATTCTATGACTTCTTTAAGGTAGATTGTAAAGCTTTCAGTGAAACCTGTTCAACATTTTAAGTTAAAAATGAAATGAGTTTTAAGCAGAGGTGGCAGACACATTCAAATCTAATTTTGCCTGTTTAGTTCAAATACGTGGACAAGTGAAATACAAAATGTAATTTGGGCAAAGGCATTATGGCTCTAAAACTCCAAAGAAACTGCATAAACAAGTAAGGTCAAACCTACTAGAGCCCTGTAATCCAGAGCATCCAGTGTGTATATCGTCTCACATTCTAGGATGGTATGCCAGTTTCAGTAATGTGTAGTAATGAGTAAGGGGGGCTACAACTAGTTATTTATTTTAAAACACAAGGGCACACAAGAGTCAGAGACTTAAAGTACCGACTTAAAGAAAGGAATAAGTAAAGATCATAAGGAGTGTTCTTTTAAAGCCCTGTGTTCCCTTTTTAACATCACTTTATATTTAGACAATTATTCTGACTATGAACAACGGACAGGTTATGTTTTTCGTACGTTTCACACAGGAAGTACATTATTGGAATTATTGCCTCCTTCCTCAGTTTTTCTTGTTAATGACCAGCAGTCCATGTTTTAATAACATAATGCAGCTGTGCAGACAGTTTGAAAGTTTATGAACTAATATGGCTTTTAGTGACCATGTTCATCTAATCCAGCTAACCTGGAATTATCCCCTATCCATACTAAACTAGATTTTTGCCGGTACACAGAAGTGCAGATTTTCTGCATATGCAAACAGAGCTTATATTCATTAAAACTAAAATTTTATACCCACATAGTTTTTAAAATTCTATTTTTTATACATTGACCAAAAGATTCTATATAGCAACGGAATGAAAGTCCAATTTAAAAATGCTCAATATGGCGGAAACCGTAACAGCAGTAAAGCACTTTTTTTCCTTCTTTTTTTTCCAAAATCTGCTTTGACTAACATTTCAGCATGGATTGAGAATTTTAATTATTGACAGGGAAGTATAAATGTTTCAAAGAAAAAGAGTAGCAACTGCTTTGCGTGTATCTTTAGCCTAACACCGGTTTAGTTATACTGAAACCTTCTTTTTAATGTCCATGTTGTTGTAAGCATTTCTTTTCACCTGCTGGCTGAGCATAATTATAATGCCTTTCTTTATTTTATGTAAAAGTACCATCTGCAATTAGATTTTTTTTGTTTAAAAAAATGGGAAAATATAAATTTGAATACAAAAGATCAAATACAGGTGACATTATATTTACAAATCAGTATAATAAAACAGACTTGAATGCGTTATATATATTTGTGTGTGTGTTTGTTTAAAGTGCCTTAGGACAACAATACTGTACAATACAGTACTATATAAGTAAACAAAATGTAATTACTACATCTACAGCAGATATTAATTGAATCTAACCTTCTGAGTTGATTCAGATACCTTGAACTATCCATTTAGATTAAGCCTTTCCTTCCACTGTTACACCCCTTCAGCAACTAATTGCCAAGTTCTCTCTTTAATATCTAATTGTCTAGCAGGTTACAGGTCAGGAAAGAGTGTAGTAATACTCTTCCCCATGTGCCATTTTCTGTCTGGGCCCCACGAGCCGCATCACTGCGCTGCCGGATCATCACAGCCCTAATCACATCGGCAGGGTAGAGCCATTAATTAGGAGCAGGCAGGTTTAAATGACTAAGAGAGGAACTGGTGAAGGGCTTAAAGTGCTCTGCTCTAAGCACATATTCTCCAAGAAGCTGGCTTCAAAGTTGAACACCGAGGGATTTTAGCTCAGATTTACCCGGAGTCTAAAAATAGAGCTCCTTCTCAACATGACACACTATCTTGTCCCCCTTATTTCGGCATCTCTTTCAGGGATTAATATGACCTTTCCTTCGCCATTACACCATTTTCTGCCACTTTTCAATACATAACTCCTTGTGAGACTTCCACTTTCACTTAATATATATATATATATATATATATATATATATATATATATATATATATATATATATATATATATATATATATATATATATATATATATATATATATGGAAAATACTTCCTCACGTTGGGTAGGAAAGATTTTAGACACCGCTTCTAGTGCTCCTATTATAGGCACTATTGCTTCAGGTGAATTTCTGGAAGGAGCTTTATGTGTTAATAATCCCATGGCAGCTAAATGAAGCAGAGCAGTGTTGCACATGTTTAGCTTTTCATGAAAAAGGGAGCAGCAGCGGTGAGCAACCAATATGCACAGCACTTAAGACCCCTGAGGGGGAGTGATGGCTGCAGCATGTGTGGATTGGTCAGCCCTGAAGAGCTCCACAGTGATGTTGCTGAGTAGAGAAGCAGCCTCTGCATGGGGGATTAAACATATTCCTTCCTTGCCCAAGTTAATTTACCACTAGAAATCTTCATTTTTGTCTTGATTAAGAAAATAATTTTTGTTCATTTTTTTTTGTCTGAGCTCAGTATTTACTGCCTTTCTTCTATAAAATCATGTTATATATTCAGTGTGTTCCTACACTAACCAGGCCATAACAATTTCCTCCACACAGCTCCTCTCTTTAGATTTACAGCAAGAGGTGGAGAGAGGGTGGATGAGGTGGGGCGGCACGCGCTGTGGTGTGACACCGCACTAAAAGAGGAGGTGACCGCAGTGCTTTTACTGGTGCTGCAGTGCTCTGGTTTCTCCTGCTGGGGTCTCCTCAACACTAGGGATGAGCATTAGAGAGAAGAGGGAGATGATGTAGATAGGAGGAAGAAAGAGGAGTGAAAAAAGAATGTGAGAAGGAAGGAAAAGCATGAAATCTTGTGGTTGCATCCTTTGATGTGCTACAGTAGTGTGTGGAGGGAAAGTTGGTTGTGCAACACCATACATTGCTTCTGTAACATCCCGATATCTGCCGTCCCCCATCCTTGAAAATCTATTTCTCCATCCAGCTCAGCAGTGGCTCTTTTTCACCTCTTGCAAAAAATTAATATTCACTCCTGTGACACCGCAGAATGTTTTTTCTGAGCTCTCCCCCGGTGAGACTCCCCTTTTCTCTATTCCACCTGTCTCCCTATCTGTTCTTCCCTCTCTTGCTCCCCACCCCTGTTATTTCCCAAATGGTGGCTGCTAAAGGTTTTGCACTTTTCTGCCAACTGCTGCTTCTGTTCCGCATAGTCAGCATTCCTCCAAATTCCTCCCTCTCTGCGTCTCCTCCCCCCTGGATACTGCTGCTACTGCTGCTGCTGGTACCTCACAGTCAATGCATCCCATAATCTTGCGTGCTCTCCCCCCTCCTCCTTCCTCTTCTTGCTGCAGTGTTTCTGCTAATATATATTAGCGTCATCATGGTGCTGAAGCAGAGTCTGTGTGCACCTTTGAGCAGCATCATGTTGCAAAAACGGTTACCTTAGCCAAAATGCTGTCTTTTATACACGTGTGTGACTCTAGCTGTCTTTGTAGCCAGGTGAGCATGTGTGTACCGTCTTCTGCTTGCGTACTCTTTGCCCACATATGTGTGTGTACTGGCGGGTTGGCGCAGGACATGGTGGCCAGTGCAGGAAATGCTGCAGGAGAGAGAAAGTGGTAGTGCTGTCAAAAAGGTGGGGGGATTGTTCCTCTTCTTTGCCCCTCTGCAAAGCCCCGACCTTCATTCCTCAAATCTTTCTGTGTGCATGTTCTATTTTTTTCTCCTTCTTATCTTGATAACCTTCCATTCTCATTTAATTTCGACCATTCACTCTGTTTAGTGAATTGTTGCACTACTTTGAGGGTTTCTTTAGTAGAAATGTTTTCTTCAGCTTGTCTATATAAATACAGATTCAAAGAATTTGATTGTGTGCCATTCAAAATATCAACATGATACCCTGAAACCCAGAAGTAATTTTGATTAAAAATCAATAAGCTCAATATACGCCACTGCAAAGGAACAAAAAGACACATAACCACAGTTTCAAATCTGTAGTTTGCCAAATTAAAGCAACAACTGTAGCAATGAAGTAGAGATTAAAGTGCTTGGTTACAAAGTTGAATCATAAGTTGTTTTCTTAAAGAACAGTTGTCAAAAGAATTTAACTTTAAAAGAAGCTGCTGCCGAAAAGTTAAACGTCCCAGTGCTGGAGATAGGCAGAGGGTGAGCGCTGTCCATGGTGCTGAATTCTGATCCGTCCGAGAAGCAAACGCAGCTCTCTGCTGGACTGTCCCGCAGGAAAAAAGCAGTATAGGTTAGCACCTTCCCCCTCCCCACAATTTTTGTTGAAGGTATTTCTCTATATAATTATAATGACATAAAGCTGGCTACATTTTAAAAGTCTACACACAAAGTACAATAGCTTTGTAAATTTCCTTGCAACTTTCAAACTTTTCCGTGCGGTATTTTATATCATGGAAGCACGGTGATGATCCTGCAGCAAAGCATGTGAAGACCTGCGATTACTAGAGTAGAGAGAAACTGAGTTATTCAACTTTTCTCATATCTTCACCTGTGCAATAGTTGCTGTAGTTGTTATTAACTGATGCAGAATGCTTGGAAGTATTAGTCCTTACCTTGAACTGGCAAACAGAATTTCCCCCTGGTTTTGAAAAAGGAGATGTAAAAAAACTCTCCAAATATAACTTTTCCCATAAGAAACAAAACACGTTTCTTCAAGCGTAAAAGCCCAAATTAGACTACAGTATTAGATCGTAGAAAATGAATAAGAGCAAAGTGAAATAAGTTTGCTTAGGAAATGGAGTGAATCAAAGTGCGGTGCAGAGAAGGGAGGAGAAAAAAGAGGACGGAAGAGAGAGAGAGAGAGAGAGCAGTGGAGAGGAGAGAAGATAGGGGGAGTCATGGGAGAGGAATGAGATGGTTAAGGAGGAAAAAAGAAGAGGTGAAACCTTGATTCCCCTCCTTCAGTGAAATGTGACTCTTTTATGCGAAATATGAGAGCGAGAGAGGAAGAGAAAGTGAGGAGGGGGAGGGCTCAGGATAGCGGAGGAGGGAGGAAAAGATAGTGTTGCATCTCTCTGAATAGGGAAAGAAAGGTTAACAACATAAACACAGTAGGCTTTTCTTTTATTTCCTTTTTTCCATTCCTGCTGGGAACGCCAGTCTTTTCTGAAGCCCCTCTGGATGGCGAGGCAGCCCACAGGCGAACAATCTGACCCTCAGTGGGAGAACAGAGAGAGGAAGAGCGCAAATAACTCCAGCTTTTTACTGCAGCAGAATTCATTCACGTTTATAGTGCACTCTCCTTTTAATGCTCTTCCTCCTTTTCCTCCTCACCCCCTCTTTTCTCTCTTCCATTACTACACAAGAGACAACATTACAGGAGCTGTCTTCACCGAGTCTGCAGCATTCACTGCCCCCCCCCTCCCCAGCTCTTTTCCATAAAAAAATCAGATTTTTTCCCCCAGCCTCATCTTCTTTTTTTCCCCTCACCTTCTTCTCTTCCCCTTTAAGCCCTCCTCTCTCTATCTCTCTTTCCCACACACACAATTCAGTGCGGTGCATGGGAAAAGTGGATAATTGTGCATCGCCTGGATCTCGGTGCGGTCGGAGGGGGCTGCAGCAGTTTGTGTAGAGCACGCACACAGGCTTGATTGAGGAGATCTAACATTAGTACGGACACCACACTCTCAGGAGGCAATTAACACACACATATACACATGCATGTACCAAAACACACGCTCACACAGCTCTGCACCAACGCGTCACAGAGGAATTCTGGGGGAAGGTGGGAAAAAGATCCCCAATCTTCTTTTATAAACCCTCCACTTCTGGATTTCACTCTGTTTAATATGGAAGATCTTGGTGGCCTGATTTGAATGAACACTGACTCCAGCATTAACTGCATTTACAATTTAGATGTTAAATGAGAGGGTTGTCCTGACAGTCGGAGAGAATAAAACTTTCTCATCACTGGTGTCAACAAGCACCCATGCGGTTCTGACTCATGAATGTGCTCACAGCCACCTGTTTTCCTGTGGTTTCTCCATTTTTCCACAATGCTTGTGCTGCAAACTAGCCTACTTTGCATCACCTCTCTGCATGCACCCTCACCCATCCTAAAACCCTCTGCGCCCCTTCCACCAGCTTATCATCGTGTGAATTCATGTGAATCCAGATGGTATTAGCGTATAATTCCTAATGTTGATAATCCATATCTGTATTTCTCCCTTTCTGTTAAGATTTTCTGCCCTTTTTCTCTCCCCGCAGACTCCTCAGACTCCTCCCTCCTCCTCCTCCCTTCGGTTTCTCGCATCCTCTCCCTCCTCCCCGGTGCTCTATGATCAATTCGGTGTGTGTATCCTCTTTCAAAGGGCGCAAGGGTGGGAACAAGTCGTCCAACAAAGCATGTTACAGCGCAGACATGACTTGCCCGTCGGAAAGCGAGAAAATCGTGATAAACTGCGGGGGGGTGAGGCATGAGACCTACCGGAGCACCCTGAAAACACTCCCGGGGACCCGCCTGTCGTGGCTCACCGAGCCGGACGCCTTCAGCAACTTCGACTACGACCCCAAATTGGACGAGTTCTTCTTCGACCGCCACCCGTCCGTCTTCTCATTCATCCTTAACTACTACCGCACCGGAAAGTTGCACTGTCCCAACGATGTGTGCGGTCCACTGTTCGAGGAGGAGCTGGCCTTCTGGGGCATTGATGAGACGGACGTGGAGGCGTGCTGCTGGATGAACTACCGGCAGCACAGGGACGCGGAGGAGGCGCTGGACAGCTTCGAGACCCCGGAGCCGGACGCGCCGGACGACGACCCTGCTCTGGGTGGCGCGGACGGGGACTTGAAAAGACTGTGTCTGCAGGAGGACGCACGAAGAGCTGGTTTTTGGAAGACCTGGCAGCCCAGAATATGGGCTCTGTTCGAGGACCCGTATTCTTCCAAATATGCCCGGGTGAGTTCCTCAGTTCTCCCAACCTGTTCATCTGCAATGCTGTTGCATGTTTCAAGTAGAATTTATAAAACTTTCTTTAAAATCCACTATTAACCCCAATTACTGCCAAAACAACCCATCGATATTAACTACAGGTCACTAACTGCTTGCATGTAATCTCTGACAGGATTAAGTGGCGGTAGCCTGTATTGATTTACTGATGTTTAATAATTAATGCTGATAACTTGAGGAAAAAATGGAAAATGGTATGTCAGCCTTATAGTGTCTCCCTCTGAGCAATGTCTTGCTGAATAGACTTTTTGTCTAAATTAGAGAAATTGTGGTTGCAAATTAAACCCTGAGAGGTGGTTTATACAGCTGTCTTGTGTGGCTTTAATTTGAATTTGTAAACATACATATATATTGTCCCATTAATGAGATATGGTTAAAAAAAAACCAGTGTACTGAGATCTGAATGTAGTTGAAAATTAAACGTTGAAACGACTCCACATCTCTAAACATTTTACAGATGCAATGAATAAAGACAGCAAAATATATCTGCATAAATAAAGATCTGTATTGATGTCTAAAAAGACCTTTATATTCATATAGAGCTATGTCTTTTACTGGTTAAGAGAACCTTAATAGAGACCTTGAATGATTTAATCTATTGACCTTTATGTCGGGCAGAAATTTAACTTCCAAATATGAATGTGTTTAAAATGTGGATCTTACAGCTATATATGTAGGTAGCGGTGTCTACTGGAATTTAAAATTGTTTAAAAGAGGAAAAAGCATCTGCATATGGAGGTTCTTGAGAATCTAAAGTGGTTGAAATGCTAAGTGGTCAACTCAAAGACGTAGAAATACTTTTAAAAAGTGCAAAATGTTAAGGCTGTTTATTAGGTAAATGCTTCTATTGATTTTGAATTGTGTCGGATAATCGTTTAAATCCTGGATTTGGTTTAAAAGTGGAAGGTCAGAAGACATATAGTAGTTTCTAGATGGGGTTGAACAGTAGCCATTGATTGCTGATTGGAACCATAAACCTATGTTGAAGTACAGATGTGTAACAAACAGATATTTAAGTGGTGGAGACATGTAACTGAAGCCTAAATGTAGATTATCAGACCAGATGGGCCAATGACATCTTGGTTTAGAACAAGTCAGAAAACCAAAATATTTGGTCAGCAAAATAACATTTTAAATATTTTGTTTCTCCTTTTTTTTAAACAGCTAAGTATTGCCAACCTTAAATAACCATATTATTATTTTTTATTATTTTATAAATAAATAAGATAAAAAAAATACTATATATATGAGTGCATTCTATGGTATTACCCAACTGTAAATATTTTAGCATTATTATAAAATGTGTCTATATATCCTCTCTTTAAGAGCTTTATTGATCTGTTATTGTTTTAGCTGTTACCCCAGTCCCAGTTGAATGCTATGTGTTTTTTCTCTTTGTATGTATTATACCCAACTTACTACTGTGCTGGGAAGATATTTACTGCTTGAAATTCCTTCTAATATACCTTCTAAATGCCCTTGTTTTAAATGCATTTGATCATACAGGTGGGGATGTAACAAGTATCCCTGACTGTTTTTGATCTGTGCTGTTTCTTTTAGTCTTAGAGCTTTCTGTTAAAGACACATCCAGCTGTTTGATCAGAGCTGCTTTCTTTTTTTTTCTTCCTGTTTTTCTTTTAATATGAATCTGACAAGACGGTGCATCAGAACCAGTCCTTGCGATTATTTCATGAATAGGTTCAGGCGGACAAATCTGACTGCCTGCAGATTTTGTGCAAATGACCACAACACAAAATGTATTTACTTCATAACTTCCCTGCCTGCAGTTGTCTGGGACATTATAGTAAAAGATTGCTAGTGCATAATAACCTCCATTGATATATCCCAGTTTCAACATGAAAGTTTTAAAAAGATTTATGAAATTATCCTTTTACTTGGATAATAAATGGTAAGACGGCCAATGTTCCTCCTGCTGCCAAAATAGTACCGGTATAACATTAATTGTCAGTTATTACACATGTTTCCATTACATTTCAAAGCTGCTGTTATAATTTTAAACACAATGAAACAAAATTACACAATAAATACATCAATTTGCCTTTTTGTACCTCTGAGACATGGGTGTAAATGGTACTGGGGACGGGGGGGACATGTCCTCCTCAGATTTATAGTGATGCTGCATTGCTGTGCGCCATATTCCTCAAAAGAGGCTTGACAAACAATAAATTGCCCAGTATTATGTCCACCGTATGAGAGGAGGAGAGATGTTTTTTTGGTTCTTCCTTTAGTCTTCTTCTAAAAATTACATTTGTTAACTGCACTATTTGTAATTCTAAAAATTACTATATATGTCATTTAAAAGTTTCATTCCTAGTGTCCATACCTATTTTATTGTTAGTATGTTACTTCTGAATTTATACACATTTAAAAAAGAAAATTTTCATGTTTGTGATATTTTGGTTGGTGATTAATTGTTGTTGATGTGAGCACCACTTGGATCCAGCAGCATTTTCTTCGGGTATGACCTCTTAGAGTTTCCATATGATTTGCTTTCTTGAGAGCTCTTCCAGTTAATCCATAACTCTACATAAATCTAACATTTATTTTTGGTGAAAACTATTTGTCCATAGGCTATAACAGTTGTTTGAGCACTAATTAAACCCAAACTAAATAATAAAAATAACTTGGACTTCATTCATACTGTCTGTATGCTCAATTCTAATTTTTTCCTAAAATAAAAATTTTCCAGGTGGCTCCTCATGCTTCTATTCAATGTGACCAACATCAGACTATCTGAATGGATCAAGACAGCATGTGCAGATAACACAGTGTATTCTCATTATTAGTTCATATGAAATCGTACGAAAAGTTATGCACCTTAATTTCGTAGGTTTTAGACGTTTTTTTCGTTGCATTGCGTCGTATTTTTACGTCTTGCCTCGAGACAAGATATCCTTGCGCATGCGCATCTTACGCATCATTAAATAACATAGAATTTAACATACAATTAGCCCTAACCCTGACCCTACGCCTAACCCTAAGATACAAAACAGCAAGCAACCTAGTTAAAGACCTGAAGAAGTGATTATTGCACTGTTTTTCCCAGTCTTATGTCCGTCCGCGGATCTGCTTTTTTCGTCTGTCTGGCTGCGCATGCACACTGATCTTTATTTTGGAGGAAAAATGTCCAAAACGTACGAAATACAGTGCATAACTTTTCGTACGATTTCATACGAACTGATAATGAGAATATGTTGGATATCAAGTTATTCCATAGCAGCGCAATGTTAGTGGAAGAAACTGAATGAAGCCAAATTGGGGCCATAAAGTCTGTTAAAAAAAGTATCCAAAAGAAAAGTTTGTAAAAAAATATTCAAAAGAAAAACATTTAAAAATGTAAACAAAAGTTTATTTAAAAAAAAGTATCTGAATAACCAAAGGTTATTCAAAAGAAAAACTACTTTTAAGATTCAAATTTTTTTTTCGAAACTTACAACATTTTTTCCGGACTTGCAGATTTTTTTTTCAAGTTCAAATTTTTAGAAAGCTGTTGAGCAATGGGAGCCGATATGGTTAAGACCACATGTTAGCAGACAAAATAAGGTAAGAAGAACGCAGCACAGCTGCTAACAGCTGTCTTTTATGGAAAACTAATTGCTACTACTGCGTGGGCGTGTAGTTAGAGCCTGGAGAATGATGTGAAAGACAAAATACAACATGACCATTCAGACAGCAGACTCAAACATATCCAATCAGTAAGAAACACATATGCAAGTGGCACAACTGGATTTATTTGGAATGAATAGATCAGAACTGGGCTGTTCACACTGGTAAGTGACCATCATTTGCTAGTTAGTTGGACTACAGTATGTCTTAAGGCTGTCATTCTGCAGTCAGACTAAGGGTGTGCAGAATAATCGTCATGGTGATGCATCGCGATTCTAATTTTTGTGATCTACTGCATCGATTCTTGAAGGCAAGAATCGATTATAAAAAAAAAAAAAATGAACAAATAAAATACATTAATGGTTGGCGCACATCAGCCAAATCAAGTGGAATACAACTTCCAGTCCAGCAGATGTTGCTGCGGATGTGTTGACGCCTGCTGCTTTGTGTCACAAGCATTTCCGGCCGTGGGATACTGCGACTAGTCATATGAAATAAACATGGAGGACACTATGAAAAGTCGCCCCGCGGCTCCATCACATTTCAAGTCACATGCTTGGATGCATTTTGGCTTTAAAAACAAAGAAGGTAAAAACGAAATTGATATGACGCACGTAATTTGCAAAAGGGGAAATATACATTTGAATGTTTTCGTTTCATTGGTTTAAAGGACAACTGAGGCCATGTAAACGGCACTGATTATCCTTATTTTGTTATTTTAGGTTTGATGAATCCTAAGATCTTTTTGTCAGTGTGTCCACGCCAGTAATAGTAATATTTCTGTCCATTATTTGTTTTCATGGCAACACCTCCAAAAGTCATTTCAATAAATACAGCTATGTATGAATTCAGTTGCTTTCAGTTATGTATCAATTAAAGACACGATCCAGATCATACCCAGCCAGTCAGCCACTGGTAAGGGCTGTATCTTTTTCTTACAGTGTTCAGTGAAAATATCACAATGCATCGCAATATTTCAAGTATCGAGATGCATCGTGATAGAATTGTATGTGGCATGTGAATCGTGATTCGTATTGAATCCTGTCTTCTTTGCCAATACCCACCCCTAAGTCAGACCCTTTATTTTTAAGACTTTAGTCCAACTCACTGGCAAAGTTTAGCAAAATTCAGGGATGTCTACGCCGATACTTTGGGTTCTATGTAACTGGGAAAAAAAAAAATTTGAGAAAGGTTTAATAGTTCTGAAAGGTCAACTTTCTAAAACCTTTGTATACCTTGATTCTTGTAACTGGTAGAAAAATGTTATGAGTTCTCATTTATAAAAGTGGCTTATGCCATTTTCTGCTTTTGAAAGTACATAG